CTTTACTGAAGCTGCCTCTATTAGAATAATAAAATTAATCTTTTCCCTAAGCCTTCCTCTTATTTTAAAAATAAACTTTTTAAAAGAGAAAAAATTCCTCTGCCTGCCCACATCTCCCTGGATCCTTTTTATCAGCTCTATGTGTCCATCCCCCAATCTTCTCTGTAACTTCGATGACAGCTTGTGTTTGGGACACTCAGAGGATGGTCCTTGGACACTGGAGCAGCCTCACGAGTGATCCTGAAGTTCGGCAGACACGACTGGCTACTGTGGGAGTACAAGAAGCCCAGCCGCTTTGCCTTTAAGCATAACTAACAACTCTGTGAGGTCACATATGCGCCAGGGCTCCCTGCAGGATCAGGCTGAACCTGGGGCTTCACCTGAAATCACACCCTTGCTTGGCTTTCCCCCTTGCTAATTCTGCTTTCCCACTCCCTTACTAATTTCTCTGAGGGCATTTCCTTAGTAAATCACATGCACCTGAATTCTTGACTCAGGATGTACTTTTGAGGAACTCAACCCAGGACATTTACTGTTTTCTCTCTCTCTCTCCACCCACCCTCAGTCTTTTTTTTTTTTTTCTTTTGTAAATTACATTTGGATAATTGCTTGAATTAAGATTACAGGGTGAAAATGTTAGGTAGATAGCTAGGATCTCTGGCTCTTCTAGGGTGCCCTGCTTCAGTACTGCCTCGAGTAATTGCCCGACCTGGGAAGGATAAGGGTGGGCACTCCATTTTTGTGTTGCCCCACCCTTAATCTTATCCCAAGCAACTGCTACACCTGTGAAAGAAGGGAATACTTTACCAATCTGGGAATTCTCCAGCCTAGGGGGGGACCTACAGTAACCTAAGGCTAATTATTATGTCATTAACTTAAATCTACATTGTTGTTCATCCCCCCGCCACCCAGGACTTTCAGAGAAGAAGCTCGAATATGCTGATACAACCTTGAGAACACTTATTAATCATTTGGTAATACCCCACACCTTCTGAAAGCCCATCCCAGAACAAGTCAATACAAGGAAACAACTCGAGAATTCCCAGAGAGAGAAAGAGAGAGAGAGTGTGAGTCAGTGTGTCTGTCTGTCTCGCTCTACTCGCAGACACAGACCTGTTTCATTTCATAATAAAAAGCTCCTTGTGTGGAACTGCTTCCTTCTATGGTCACGCTGTCACTGGCCCTGCTTGTGATTTTTTTTCCAAGTAAGGAGCCAGGTAACTAGGATAACAGTCCACCAAGAGGCTGGACCTGACACTTTGGTGTGTCTGATCATTCTTCAGCCAAGAGCACACCAAGAACCAAGAGCAGACTGCCACCCTGACAAAAACACACAACAACAACAAAACTTCTTCCCAAAAACAAGCATCTCTCAGCCATCTTTTACCAGGAAGAGTCTCATGGCAGAGCTTTGGGGATTGGACTAAATCAAGGATCCATAGCCAGTAGGTTTAGGTTTATTTTTATTCCTGGATGTTTGGTAACAGTCATAAAGTTTGTTATAGGCATGACTAAAGGGTCAGTATGGTCATGAATTGAAAATGGTTTGGGGTGACATATCCAGCAATCGGTTCAATTTCCCCAAGAGGCCAGAGATTGGGAAATTTTAACCATGGAGTTATCTTTCAATGTGAGTGTAAGAGTCAAAGAAGCAATGATACAAACTGAAATC